CCAGTTTCTGATCACTTAAACCAGTTTATATGTAACTTCGGTCCTTAGCCTTTGAGGCTAAGTCCCACGAAGTGGCACAGAGAAAGAGGAAGACCCACCCACCTTCTGCCTTAGTGGTTTTTCAGGGACTCAAGCAGGGTAAAGTAGGATCACTGTGAAGCCACATGTTAGGTGGAATAGGATCTGGCCCTGAGCCTCAGTGCCACATTCCAATTTGTGAAAATACAGTGAATCCTAGTACAAATTGAGGTTAACTCTACTGAAAACAGTTCCATACTTTTGAAGAATCATAACTTCCAGTGCTGTAGCTTAAAAATCGCTTGATATTCAGCTTGCAGCTATGACAGACTTCTTATCCCACCTGAAAACCAAAGCCTGTGAAAATTTCTGACAAGGGTAGAATTTTTTCATCCATTTTGGTAACTTCAGAGACTTGCAAGTCCTCACTCATTTTCGTTGTCCACAAGCATGTTTTATTGTAGCTGAAAGAAAAACTAAAAGTGTGTAGAGTGTCACTTGAGGAAGAGATATGTGGCTGTAGAAAAGAGGTAGATTATGGCACAAACAGATTCCATAAATATGGAAGAACTCCAATAACTTACTGACTCTGGTAAAGTGTTCCATCACATCAGTACTTCAAGTCATGGGTATCAAGGAACATATAGAAGATGACTTTGCCTTAACAATCTGCCTTTAAATTTGTTTTATATTAAGAGTCAACATATCGTCACCAAGCAACGATTGATGATGAAGTTGTTTCCATGGAGATACTAGACACAGCTGGTCAGGTGAGTGAGGATAGGTTGGTTATACAGGAAAAAAAGTGTGTAATGATGAGAGTAAGATAAACGTGCCACACTTATAGGGACTAAATTCAGTCAGTCAACCCCCTGCCGCCATTTGTCCCAGCTGCCAGACCAATCTGCTGTGCATATCTATGCCAGAGCTTACAAGTTGTATAATCCAAAAGCCTAGTGGAGAAGGAGTGTGACCGCTTAAAGAAACTTTAATCCCCTATGTCTGAAGTGCAGCAAAGTGTGGCACATCCCCAAAATACTTTGCCTTCTCAGGTGGAGCAATTTTTCTTTGCTCCTAAGGAGGGCGCTGTTTTCACATCTGCAGCAACCATATCCAAAATAGGTCTACCTGATTACAGCTCTGCAGAATCTAGGAGGAAAACACAAAATAAGCATTTTGGCATTTTGGTTCAGATTGAATTGAATTTTTCTTCCCAATTTTTGGGTCTGGGATCAAACAAAGATTTATTTGTATAGCCTGACAAACAGCTCTTGGCTACAATCAAATGATCATTTAGTTTTCTCTGTTTAAAAATGCCAAATTCTCTGATTTAACCTTCCCCCCCAATCTGTTTTTCCATGATGAAAAAGGAAACGCCACTATATATATAGGTATCAGTTGAACACCATATTTTATTAATATATTTTAACAATTTTAAAGCGGTTTGGAAGCCTACCAGTGCTTCAACCATTATAATAAAATAATTTCTAAATACCTATATATTTCAGCATTTGATTTTACTTTTTTTTATCATGGAAAATCAGAGCTCCCCCTGCCCCC